CATTCACTACTGACACTTTGACAGCTCGTGGTCAAATAACAACAACAACAAATATAATCAGTTGCTCGTAAGGCATAGATATTTGCACAAAACACAGGCGTTGTTGCTTATCATTATCCTCAGTGCTATGTTATGTTGTGCTGTGCTCTGCGTTGAATGTTATGCCCGTTGGTCACAAAGCTTGTTGTCTCATAGCGTTGCTTGTAATTAATTCGTGTCACTATTTGCACAAGCACTCACACCACATGCACAGCTATTTCGTCTATATGTGCGTGGTTGTGTTTGCACGTCGTTATTGCTGCATTATTACGTGTACACATGCCAAGGCGTGTGCTGCATTGAATTTAATTTGAAAATGCGCTTTTATTACAAAGATTCAAGCTTATGCGTTTCTCAAAAAAAATGCTTTAAACAAGTAAATAATCAATTGAATTTAGCCACTATTACAAAGGGTGTATTTATAAAATTATCCATCATATGGTTTGCAAGTCTTGTACCGTTGTAGTATGATAGAAAAATTAGTAATTTTGATGACCTTCAAAAGTTTATATTTTTAAGATATATTTGAATAATGAGCAATAGAGTTTTCGTACTTAAAATACCTCTCTGCTTTGACTTTGACTAGCCGAAAAAATAAGTTTGTTGAAAAATACAAAGTTTTTCTACAATCATTATTTGAACATTGAAGCCACCACTCAAGCTTAAAAATTTGTTGATTTTAAGATTTATAGCTGCTAAAAAATGCCAAAGTGGCACTTTGTCACAGAGAATATTCCTTGACTAATATTCAACCAATTGAAGCGCTAGTCTTCGAAGAAACGGAATTGATGCATTGTCATCTATAATTTCTAAAACAGCTTCATATTTTAAGTTTAGTGCTGAAGAAAAGGTCTGTAACTATCAGTTTAACATAACATAACATAAATGTTTCCTGTTTTTAGTCTTATTATTGTCAGTTACTCTTGTATATAATATATATGGTATTGTAAAGAGTTTTTTACCGAAGTGAGGTTTTCAATGAGTTGACGTTTGAAAATGTATTACCAATTTATTATTTCTTATATAATAATACTTGTATTTATTATTTCTTCCTGAAAACCATATGCCTAAAAAAACACCCTTTATCCACCACAGCGATCAGTCTAAGGATAAGTTTAAAAACGACTTTCTTCCCCAGTTTATAAATATTTTGTTCCTAACCCAAAAATATAAAGAATTCTAGTTAAAACAGTTTTTTTTTAGAAAGACATATACTCGTCCTATGGTACCATAGGTAATATGTATATATGTCATAATTATAATAACATTACAGATTACCCTCGGTATTCTAACGATATGAAGATATTCAAGGAAGAGTATAAGCTTAATTAAGGTTTAGAATGAATATAAATGGCACATATGTAATGAAATAAATTAAATTGAAATTGATGAGCAATATCGGTATAACTTCTCCGAATACGCAGCAACCGACAGCAAGCCTTCGCTATTGTTACGCATTTTTTGCGGCTTTCCTATACCACCCACTGACACACTGTTTGGCAGATAAAATACCTAAAAACCGCATGCTCTCAGCAACTGGTTTTTGTCATTATACACACACACCCCCATAAGTACAACAAAACCGCTTCAGCGCTACTTCAGCTGTCAATGCTAATGATTTACTACGATTTTTTTACTCTTGCCCCCTCACAGACAGGCAGCATTGAGCAACGCTCGCAGGCGAAAAAAAGATATGCAAAGCTGTAGCAGAAAAAACTGATAAAACGACGAAATGAAGCGTGAGCACAAACTTTTTCACAATAAAGCGCATGAATTTCACATTAGAGCGCAAAGCTTTTGCACAGAGCTCTCCTAGACGGTGCATACAGAAGCAGAGTTTGGGCAGAAAAGAGTGAAGAGACTCTGCTGGAGCGCCTGCGGCTAAAGTGTAGCGCAGCTTATCGTCGTTGTACAAGTGTTTTGTATATGTATATATGGTATATGTGTGTACGTTCAAGTAATTGAACATGTCACACGACGAACCTTATCAGCATTTTAGGCCGATATTCGTTTGAAAGTACCCAAAGTGCCATTTTGCTGCGCAGACAAGGGACAACCGTGCGCATTGCTTCGTATCCGTTATGAGTTTCGCCTGCCGTGTGGTGTGTGCTAGGCTTTGTCTGTTGGAGTGCTATCAGCTGGTTGTAGTATTACGCTACCTGTCTACCAAACGAATCGCCTTCCCCCTCCAACACATTTTTCGTTATGCCTCCTCAATTTCATTCGGCCGCCATTAACCTTTCTCATTTGCCTTTTCGCCGTTAAACTCCAACAAATAAATGCTGATTCATTTCTTTGACATTAAGTATTTGACTTTTTTTACTTGTGATTTCTAAAACAAACGCTTTAACAATAAACGACCGTTGCACATAGTAAGTCTGTGGCGGGTGTTAGTGAGGCAGGTGTGCGGTAAGAGATATAAACTTAGGTTCGCGGGCTATTAACTAGCGGCTTCAGTTGTAGGTATGCTAGCGCTTGTGGTTGGTGGGAACAATGGCGGAGAATTAAAGTTTCTGTGTCGAAAGTTTGGCAATTCTAAAAGTTTTTGAGGCACGTCGAATAATGTAATAAAATATAAATGAAAAAATAAGGAAGCCTTCCTTATTGAGTTTTTATACCCAATACATGTGTTTAGGTTACAGAGCGTTCAGCGGATGTATCACCGATATTGGTGACATTGTAACAATTTTCTTCTAAATAAAATCGTTAAATTCAGAACTAAAGCTGGAACCGCAAGCTCCGTCATATTATTCTATTTCATTGCATATATTGGAGTGTGGACTTCTTTTTGACAAGAAACATCTCGAATACAGCTTTGTTAGATCGGTAATTTATGTCATCATTTTTATGTATCGAAGGAAGTATAAGTTAATAGGATTCATGTCACGGTTTGGAATGAGTAATAAATATCTTCGGGATCTGTAAAAATATGCTCATTTCCACAGAAGTATTTATTTTTTATTTGCCAGCCAGTTCTTCTCAAATATGAACTTTAGAGCTTTTAATTAAATGCTTAACGAGAATTACTGCGATGAATAATACACATTTTAAGGAATGTTTAAAAATAAAATAGATAAAACAGAATTCTTAGAGAGCTTCGGGAAATTCAATTTATGGAATATTGTTCCATTATTTATTCGCTTTTCTTTGCTTTCTTTCACTCTTGCATTCATCCTCTCTCTCTGCCTGTCCACTTGCCATTTTCCCAGACTTTTCTTCCTTTACTTGTATCTAATTCTTTCTCTCCCTCTTTCTTATGACCTTAAGCACGATTCAAGAGCCCTTCTCCTTTTCTTTCTAATGATGTTTATTCCAATTCAAGAGTTTCGGCTAATAGTATTACCATAAAAACTTTCCGAATAACGAGAACTTATAATTTTATAGAAAATGTACCCATAACTACCATATTCTATCTACGCTCCCTGGCACCACTTGAGAGACTTTTTCTATAAAACTAATATGAATAAGTAAGGAAGATCTAAATTCAGGTGTAACCGAACATTTCATACTCTCGCAAGTTAAAGTGATGTACGGAATTTTCGTACATATTTTAATTAAAAGTAGGAAGTATTGCATCATATTTATATTATGTACATGGGAGCTAAGGGAAGTATTAACTCGGTATTACCCATTTTTAGCACAAGGACATGCTGTTTCCACAAAAATATGCTCCCTAAATTTCAATACTAGAACTCATAGACTAACCGATATGGTAGTTAAAAATCAACCATATGCACTTGTGTCAACATATTTGGTGTCTGGAAAGGTTATAGTTCGACAATGTTTAGGCGTTAGATTAAATACTTTGAGGACACTATTTGTGCCAAGTTTTACCTTAATAACTACATTGATGTTTGATTTGTATACTGTAAAGTGAAAGAATCAGATATAATATAAAAGTTTACTATATGGGTAGTAGGCGTGGTGGTCAATTGGTTTCGCTCATTTTCACAGTATATGATAGATATGATTGGGTAACATCACACACCAAATTTGGTTGCAAATTGGTAAAATAGTTTTTGAGATATAAGATTTCACCTAAAAGTGGGCGGTGCCCACGCCCGTTGTCCAATCTTACACTGGCTCCCATAAAGCCCTTTCTTGCCATCCTGGCTGTGAAATTTATTCAGTTATCGCACCGTTATATGGGGAGTGGGCGTGTTTATTATTTGATTTTCCTCAGTTTCACAGTGTATAAAGAAATGCTAAAAAGACTTTTTCTCAGCAAATTTGGTTGATATACCTCCAGTGGTTTGAAAGATGTGTAAATTCAAACATTTAGAGGGCGAGCCTCGCCCACTTTTTAAAAATGTTTAGCCCACAAGTGCCATTACTATTGCGATCCCTTGTACGAAATTACAATTTTGTCTCGTAATTTATTGCTTTTCTATGACAAGTTTTCGTTTAATGGCGTTTTGTGGGCGTGACAGTCGGCTGATTACGCCCATCTTCTATACCATTGCTACTTGCCAAGAAATATGTGTACCAAGTTTCATCAATATCTTAATTTTTACTCAAGTTATCGATTGCGCTGACAGATAGACGGACGGACAGACTCATTCGGATTTCAACTCTTCTCGCTATCTTGATATATGTTATATACCTATGTAAATGATACATAACTCCATATCTATCTCGATTAGTTTTAGGTGATACAAACAACTCATAGGTGAACAAAATTATTATACTCTGTGCAACATTTTGTCAGAGTATAATAAGCATCGAAATCTAGGAATTCACTAAACTTACATCACAAACTAGTAATGCGAATAAAGTACTTATGAGTATGTAACGTGTAGGGGGTATAGATTTGAGGAAAAAGTCCTCGTTATCTGGCGTATTCTCAAATATTCACAGTATTTTTTTTGCAGTTTTTCACTTATTCTATTATAATCTTATACTTTTCTTTTGATGGTCCTAATTCTCCTTTTTGTTGTATTTCGTTAAGTTAGTTTTTTTTTGTGTTCTGTTTTAACTTTATCGCGAATTTGAAAGTTTGCCTGCCAATCACTTGCTTTCAGTTTTATTAATATGTATTTTAAGGTAGTTGGCTTGTTATCGCTTTTTAGCTTCTTCTCACCCCCTGTCAAAGCGAGCAATTTAACAAGTAGGTGTATAAAATTCTTGCCAAAAGTTGGACTAATTTGCATTTTTTTAATTAAAGATTTTTGAATTCATAAATATACGATATACGCGTTGCTGACTTTATATGGGGTCTTATCATAATTTGTTATGGAAATATTTGTTTTTATACATAACCTTAAATTCCATGAACATGTGTGAGAAAATAAAAGTTCATTTTAGGAACATTGCAAACACTATAGAATAAAAAATAAGAGATAAATATTATTTTGCAGTTTGAACTTCCTGATCTCATTGATACTTCACTTTTACGAGGTATATAGGTCAACGATGTATTTTAAACTGTTTGTTTTAGACACATCTAAGAGTTTGTGTAATTTGATGTTGTATTTACTTACAACAAATCAAGGAACTTGCTAATTGCTTGCTGATTAGACACTGAAGGGCATATAAATTTGGTGACTTATTTGCATATTAAACTTGTTGGAAATTGGGCATTATCTGCCGAGCGTCGACCGTTATAGATTTTAGTTGCAAGCCCGTCAATTGATTGAAATAGATTTTAATCACTGCAATAAGCCAAAAGCGAAGAAAGTGGACTCTAGTGACTATATTATAAGAAATTTCGAGGTTAGACATTGTCTGTGGCTGAAACAATTTTTCTAGCACGCATTCTGAAAACATGTTTTTCCGAGTGGTAGTCATGTACTTAAACTAGCGGGCATGTTATATTTCAGATTCTATTGTCATTAGGACATTACTTTCTAACAATCAAGTTTGATGTTTTATAATTGAGCACAAATGTCAATTTTTGCTATGTCAGCAAAATGCGGTTAAAACATAGAAACACTAAACTATACAAAACTCACGGAGGAACATTTGTACCATGGTTCTGTACACCTAAGCAAGAAGCTGCGTGTAAATGTGCATAGAAAGCGAGATGTCTGCGTACTGCAGAGACAGTTTGAGTGACAGGACACATGCTTGCATCCTGCCTGTAGGTGATGAATTTTTTGCCAACAAAGCAAAGCGTAATTGGATTTGTGCCTTCACTCAATATTTCAAAATAGTAAAAAAAATAAAAACCAATGCATTAGTGATTAGATGCATTCCAATTATTTTGAATTTTGATTTAAATTAAATTAACAGTTAAATGCGATCTAGGTCAAAACAAATTTATTTGCATGATATGCATAAACCACAACGAAATACAGAAATATGTTGGTATTATATATTATTTCTATAAATATGTGTATTTGTGAAAGAAAAATATAAAGTTTAGCATATGCCAAGCTAAATATGTAAGCATAAGCTGGTTTTAGTAATATAAAAGTGTATAAAATAGTTAGTTTAGGAGTATATGTTGCAAATAGAAAGGTTGCTTGACTTCTATTATTAATGCTAGTCTAAGTAGTCCCGAAAATGTGTTAAAGGGATTCGAATGAAATAATATTAGATGTACAGGTTGGTTGAAAAGTTGGTTAGTCTCACCAAGGGATAGCACTACCAGATCCAGAATTTTTTTTCTCAAGATGGTATATCTGTCGTAAAAACACATGCAAAGTTACAAGTCATTCTGTCAATTAATTCTTTGTTTACAAGCCATTTGAAGTAGACGTGTCAATGTATTTTTTAGTGATTAGATTCTTTGTTTTGAAAGGTTTAAAAGCAAAGGAAATTTATGAACACTTGTTAGAAATGCATAAGTAGCCCTCACCTGCAAAACGCACCGTTGAATTTTGGGCTGGTGGATTTGAACGTGATCGTACTAGGCTTTAAGAGTTTTTTTCGACTTCTTGCGTCATTTTATAACTTGGATCTACCACCATGATCCCAAATTGAAACAAAAACGTTTACAGTGGACTGAAGCTGGTTGTTCAGCTCCAAAGTAGGTGAAGTCACAACGATCAGCAAAGAAGGTTGTGGCATCAGTTTTTTGGGATGCAAAAGGAATTTTGTTGATTGATTATCTAGCTGGATGAAACGATTCGTGAGAAAAGACCTGGTTTGCAATACATAAAAAATAATTTTTCATCAAGACAATATACCTGCTCACAAAGGTGTTTGAACAATGACAAAATTTAACGAAATAAAGTACGAGTTGCTTAACATCTACCGTATTCACCAGATTTGGCTCCCAGCGACTATCATCTCTTCAGAAACCTGAAATAATTTCTTCGTGGAATGCGTTTTTCGTCGACCGAAGAAGCTATTAAAGCCGTATACCGGTATTTTGCAGAGCTTCCGGAAAGTCATCATAGGGATGGCACAAATTATTGGATGATCGTTGGAATGAGTGTATTGAAGTTAAGGGAAATTATATTGAATAAAATAAATATTTCGTACCAAAAACAGTATTGCTACATGCAATCAATATTAAAAAAATTTTATACGGATACAAAAATTTGGAATTTTAAACAAAATTTTATATATAAAACATTTTTTGGAAAACTCAAATTGTTAAAGTTTGAAAAATCTTAGAATTTTTTGTAACCATTACGATCAGAGAAAAACTAAAATGCTTATGAACAAATTTTTGAACTTTTCCAATTGAAGAAACAAAAAATCTCAAAAATTTAGAATTTTTGTTATCAAAAAATATGTTTTGACCTATTTTTGATCTATAGGAATTATGATTTTTGTCTTTTTGTCTACCAAAAATTTTGGTACAAACTTAGTTACATATGTAAGTAGAAAGATAAAAAACAATATTTTATAATGCATATATTATATAATCAGAAATACATTTTAGACTATGAATTTCATATTATTTTAAAGATCTTTTTATCGGTCAATGTGTAAGATTAATAACTGAAATTGATATAATAAAATTCCCGATAATGGTATGTTTTTGTGTCAAAAATTACTTCAATCGGGTCAATACTTCCTTCCATATAAAATTTTGCGAGAAAATAAAATGTTCGGTTACATCCGAAATTAGAACTTCCTTACTTGTTAATTTTAATTGTTTCGTATTTAAATTTTTATAGTAACGCATTAAATATATGAAAAAAAACATTTTTTAAGTAATAAATATTTTAAGTTAATTAGTGATACAAATTTATTATCTTTTTTATCAAAACAAATATAACTTCTCCCAATATTTTATTATAATTAATTTTTTTTAACAAAGCAAATACTTTTTATAACTTTTTCCAATATTTCAATATAATTATTTTGTTTTTAGTATTACATATATTATTTTAAAATTTAAAAACTTAGTTACATTTTTTAACTTTTTACCCCATATTCCCGTTAAGCTAACGGAAATACAAACTCATAATCCCTTAAATCACAGCAGATTCACTAAAAAGCTGGGTTAAATCAGCGCACAACTATGGTTGGCGAGACACAGATTTTCCGAAACCGTAGCGAATAAAATAGACAAAATTACTTCGCTCAGGTGGGAACTAAAACAAAGTTACAAATAGTGATTTGAATTGTCGCAAATACAATAACAACAATGTGCCATGGAATCTCGTCATAAAACCGTGCATCAAAAAAGGTGTTTCAAATTACGCGCTATTGTAATTGTAGCAATAGCATAAAATTTATTTCATTACCATTGGGAGCGCTTGAGGTGACCTTAAGGGAGCGCTGGTGAATGAAGCGAAACGAAGCATAAAGCGGGTTATAATTTGCATAATTTCAGGCGCTCAAGCGCAGCGCATAAGTAATGCACAAGTAACGAAAATATTCCGAAGTGTTGAAATACTTGCAACTTATTGTAATTTGAAATGTAAACTCTTGACGTGCTGCAACTAAAGCCGAGCTATTGTTTAAGCTAAATGATTGCATAAGTTGAGGAGATCCGAGAATTAATGTTTTCAACAAACTCACTGTGAAATTTACTAATTTGTATTCAGAACTGCATTCACACAGTTATTCCTATCTTTCTACTTTCTCTTACAGTATTTTTTTTACTTATCTTCCGTTGTTTTTCTCGTTTTTATTTGCAGTTGCAAGTTTTCGACGCCAACAAGGATGGACGTCTGCAGCTCTCCGAAATGGCCAAGTGAGTAAATATGCATTAAGGCGTTGTTTGTATTGTGTTTTTGTTGTTGTTTTCATTGTAAATAAATACAAAATATTTCAATGGGAAGTACATTTATTTCAATGGGAAGCACATTTATTTTGACAAGATGGCGGCAAGCGCAAAGAGTGTTCTGAGTGTGACTGCTTGTAATGACGTTGCCTGCTCAGAGTTTGGTGGCTTTTTCCTAATTACTCAAAATTTGTGATGAATTTTAGCTTTGTTGAGCGAATAAGTTAACTTTGGGTCAACATAAAATATTTTAAAAAATTCTTAAATAGAACATCGAACTTTGCTTTATTTAAGCCGAAATTTGTATTTTTTCTATTGATCCTCTATTAAAACAATTACCTAAGACTGAGAGCATAATAACAGAGTTAGGATGAAGTTTAAGTATAAATATATCAGGTTGAATGCATAATTTCACCTAAAAGTGATTTGCGCTTCACATCGCTGTGTGCTCAGCTTATTGCTGAAAATGTAATAAGAAAGATTGTTCACTCTGTGGTTGAGAATAATAAATACAAAATTAAAACCATAAATGTTTTGACATGTAAATTTAAGCATGACCCGTATAAAAACTTTTTTGAGTATCGACGTCACCGACGTTTCCTTCCGGATGTTACGAACTTCGTGGCAAACTTAGAATACCCTGCTCAGGGTATACTATTTTAAAATATTCCGAAAATTAGTTTCACTTGTGAAGCGTTTAAACAATAGCTGAATCGGAAGTACATGGAAACCTTTACAATAGACGTTAGATTTTTTTCAAACAGTGAAATTAATGTAAATTTGAGAAATTAAAAAAGAGAATACAAATAAATCACAATTTTTTTAAATAACTTTCTTAAGACTAGTGGAAAAACAAAATTGATTTTTCTTAAGTATAATTTTTTACCTAATTTTGAAACATAACATTTGAGGTTATATGATAAGAAATGAAGAGCTTTGCTCAATTTGAAGTAACATCAAATATTGTAACGCAATTTTACGAAACCACTATACCTTAAATTTTAGAAATTAATATAAAGTGCTAACTCTAGCATGTCATCTAGAACTTCTTTTCAAATAATTCTAAATTTTCGTATTTGCCTTTTCGACTTAATATCGCTCAACTTTCTGCATATTTCAATGTATCAGGATGTCTCAAACCATCTCACCAAATTCCTAACGAATCTGCGAACACTCATATATTTCTACCTTTTACTGCACTTGACCACCTTCCAGACATTTCCGGTTCTACTTAAACCCGAAAGGTATTTAACTTTCTACTTTTTTGTTAGTTTGTGTGTCCCTTACTCAATCACCATCCTCTTGCATGTTTCCTTTTAGCTTCCTATTTGACTTATTTATTCTCTCTCATTACAGATTGCTTCCGGTAAAAGAGAATTTCCTCTGTCGCCAGGTTTTCAAGGTAAGTGCTAGACTTAAATATACACTTGCGTTTACATGCGTCCCTTCGAAACCACTGAACCCCTCTGATTTCAATTACTATCGTTAATACATACAGACACACATACATACATATGTATACATCGAACAAAACTTAAAATAAGAATAACGGTTAAAAAAATAAAATAAAATGGAAGTCAGAATTAAATTCCTAGGTATACACATATACATACATAGAAACAAATATTTAAAAACAGTGAGAGTATATTTATAAAAGCAGCACTGCAAATGTTGCGTGAAATCGTTTAATTTTTAGTAAATTTAATTATATAAAAGTAATTTGAGTATATAGCAAACAGGTTATTTAAAGTAATTGACTGTGATTTTCTTAGCAAATGACATGACATTACTTAAGTAAACATGTTAAGTATCGTTTCAAACATTTATAATATAATTTAATGACTTCACTATTAGCATTTTTTTCATTTCTTCTTGCATTTACAGTTTTCAAGCTTCAGTGCATTGCTGCAGCATGCTTCTGAAAATGAAATAACAGAAAAGCTTATTCACGCAATATTTCATTTTATTTTTCTAAAAGACACAATGGATTATTTTTATTAAATTATTCTTGATAAAGAGTTTTGTATGCATACGTATAAAAGTAAAAAAAGGACAAACAATCGTTTAAAATATATTTATTAACAATTATTAAACAAATGTGAATTCTAAGCTAGATTATTTCGACCCAAGCACAAGCACATCGTAATACAAGTATGGTGTAAGTCTTCAGATTTGTAATCATAGGGCCATTTAGTTAACATATTTTTTGAACGTATTAAACGTCTAGAAAACCAAAATATGTCCAGAACCAGAGAATGTTGATGAGTACTCAACATTCTCTGCCAGAACTGTAACATTCGAACGCTCAGTTACTTTGTTCTTATTTGGTGCGCGACTTCGCTACAATATAACTTTATTTGTTCCAGTTGCGCCAGTAGGTAGGCAACGTTTTATTCATATAATGTAACAGATGCTAAAAATAAAGTGAACTGTTGTATGTAAAGTCGTGGCGGTCTGTCTTTTAAAATTTAAGTATTTCTGAAGTAAATAGTAATTACATATAAATGTAATATTTCCATAAGCTGATCAAATACACTGAGTTAACGGTAAAAATTCACAAAAGAGAAAAAGAGAATCCTTGTCAAACTCGGCATATTTATCGCTATAAATTTAAATATATGTATATTTCTCTTCGGATGATTATAGTTTCTTCCATATTTTTTATTATCTAGCGTATATTTTTTTATACTCTCGCAACCTGTTGCTACAGAGTATAATAGTTTTGTTCACCTAACGGTTGTTTGTATCACCTAAAACTAATCGAGTTAGATATAGGGTTATATATATATAAATGATCAGAATGAAGAGACGAGTTGAAATCCGGGTGACTGTCTGTCCGTCCGTCCGTCTGTCCGTCCGTCTGTCCGTCTGTCCGTCTGTCCGTGCAAGCTCTAACTTGAGTAAAAATTGAGATATCTTTATGAAACTTGGTAGACATGTTTCATGGTACCGTGAG